ATATATATATTTTTTAATATATATATATATATATATATATATATATATATATGTATATTAAATATGTTTCTAAATATTAGTTTTTTGTTCTCCCAAATTAATTTTCTAGATAATTCTAAACTTCAGTTCTATTCTAAAGTCATTCAGTTTTATTCTAAAATAAGACTAAACTTGTACAATCTCATCGTTATTTTTATCTGTAGTTAAAAGAGAAAAAGTTATCTCTCGCAAAGTGTAATTATTTAAAAAATTTGCTCGATATATGAGCAGACATCTTTAACTGCTTCTTAATTTTTTATGATAAAGGAACAACCTAATATCAACAAAATGCGCGTCGCATGTGGCGGATCGGTTCGATGACAAACGGCGAAAGTGATATTTTTCGAGAACAAGATAATCCCTGAGTGGAAGCTGATATGTGATCCAAAAATATTGTTAAATGCGACACATTTGTCATCTCGGCATTAAGCACTATAAATGTGTGTCGAGGGGATAAATGTCCCACATCGAAAGAATATTACTCGGTTGTATATATATAGCGTGTTACATTGAAAAATTTCAGACCTCGTGAGACCTTTTAGATTTTAAAGAGAAAAGATACAACTGAGGAAAAAATTTCCATTGAAAGAAAAATTAATTACAATCGTAATAATTTCTCTGAGAGATTAAGATATTTTTTATTTTATTTTTTGTCCATGTCTAATAGAAAGACTTTTAATTTGAAACATCCTGTATGTGAAGAAGAGCAGATGTAACAGCGCGGCGCTTCGTAATGGTGCAAGTCAGCGATTTTTCATGATTAACCGAACAGATTAAACCACCGAGGTAGAAGAATCAGAGAAGCTTGGTAAATACAATGTGATTTACGACGCCCAACGAGACGATCGTACTTTGTTATCCGTACTCTTGCGATTCGTACAAGCCTCGTCTGTCATCATCGAGAGGCTCGTGGGTGACTTCTGGAATTCTACGCTGAATAAAGTGTGTATATAAATACATTGTAAAATCCTGCTAAAGAGATTGGAGAGAATATTATGATTACGTGAGATGTTTGCGTACGTCACAAATATGTATGCAACTGATTATGAGTTTAGCATTTTAATTAATGGCCATCACTGCCTTTTTATTAAAAGTTAAAGTTTACACAAGACGAAGCACGTTTTGTAGACGTGACATCGCGAAAATACGTGTAAATATTTATTAAAATCTTTTTACTGTTGTCACACATCTGCAAGTTGAAAATGTCGTAGAATTTAAAATCGAAGAAAACCCGTACGGTATGTTTTTTAAAAGAGCGAAAACGTTTACGTACGCTCGACGACACGGACGCAGAGCAGAGAAGGAAAATAAGCGGCGACGCGAGGAAGTCGGACGAGAAATAAGAAGACCAGAAATTAATGCGCAAAAAAGTATAAATAACGCTTATAAGAGACAGTGGGAGAGAGGATACAAGATGGAACAGGCAGGGCGGTCAGTTGCTAACTTAATTAGTGAAATTAACGGGGCCGCTCGACATGCCGAAGCTAAATGCAGCGATATATATGCTTTAAAATATTTTCCTGCTCTTAAAACACTTGCATTATGCATTCTATGTAATTTGCGAGCATATGTGTAGAAGTGGAGAAGTCTCAAATTAAACAAAGTTCGATTGGTACATTTAAAGTCGCATCAAACAAAAATTGTCAAACAAGACACAGAGATGACGAGTTGTGTTTAAGATTTATCTTGCTAATTAAAAAAAAAAAGCTATGAATGAACAGAATATAAATTTCTGGTAGCATTGTATATAAAGCGTTCATTCAGATCTTCGAAGATAATTCTTATTTATCTATATCGTGAAAGAAAATTAAATACAGATGCCTCTAGGCGTTTATTTCTGAATGTCAAAATATTTTTAAGATAAACATAAATTCATGTCATTTTTTTTCCTCCGCCTGTGATTCAATTACACTCGCGTGTCGTGCGTGTCAAATGTTAATGATATAACAGATACGATTGTAATTCAATATAATTAGGTGCATCGATCGATGTCGATCTGAAAACTCGTTACAGGAGCTGCGACGACGCTGCTCAAAGCCGAGACGTCGTGGCCCACTCGAATGAATTCTCGTGGTGAATACATTTTCATAAATTAGGCAGATTTATCTGGGAGACTTTGCGAGATCCGAGAAAACGTGGGCGGCGATCGTCTAATCGTCTAAATGAAACGACGTAATTAAGAGATCCATTACGTGGACGATGGACCATATATTATCTGTTGTAAATTCAAGCGAGAGCAGAACGTCGTTTTTGACCCACCGATGTGGTCAAATCATCACGAGAAATTACAGAGGGATTTCCCCTTCTCTCTCTCTCCTCTCCTTTATCCTCTCTTTCTTTTTCTTTCTCTCATTTATTCTTCCAATAATTAAAAGCACTCAGCTGCTTATAGCAAACGAAATCTTCCAAAAATCCGTTATCTCGTCAAGTTGTCGTTCTTATCAGCGAATAATTCCATGCGAATACCTGCGACTCGCCAGAGGGCTAATATTATTTCGCGCATGACAACGTTATTCGGACAGCGTAGCAAACGAGCGATAAGCGAAAGCGGGAGGAATAGCCGAGTGACAAAGAGAGCGCGGAGAAGCTGATGTTCGTACGAGACACCAAATGTATCCTTTTCTGCTCTCCCTCACCCCCCACCCTATCAACCCTTGGATAACACTGGCGAAGATACTGCATTAATGTAGCGTCCTATCAATTTCTGTTGCAAACCTCCTCCTCCTCCTCCTCCTCCTCCTCCTCTTCATCCTTCCGTACACTTATATCCGCTCTCGCGCTTGTACGCGTTTTTTTTTTCATTTTTTTCAACTTCTTATCCGTCTCAAATAACTGGACTGGCCCACACTCGGCGCTCTGGCATGGACACACCTACCTACCTGCGTCTACCTGCCTTTACCTGTCTTTACCTGCCTGCTCGCTTGCCCGCTTGCCTACCTTCTTACCTGCCTGCCTGCTTGCTCGCCTGCCCGCTTGTCTGCCTGCCGGCTTGCGGTTCCTCCCCTGGTGCACAGTTGATGCATTCATTCTCCTGTTCCGCGTCCATGTATACTCATATTGAGCTATATCGCGTCGATGACCGTGCGAAATAGCGCACATGCCGGGTTCGACACACATACGCACGCATATACAAAGTAACGATGGTACAAGCGATAGAAAGACGATTTCTTCGTGCGAAAAGATGTTCAGACAGTAGAACCTTTTTTACTTTGTTTTGAAAAATGTTAGTTTTAAAAATTGAAAATTAATATTTATTGAGGACTTTGAATATCTTTACTGTTACTATAAACAATAAGAAAAAAGGCTCTATAATTTCGAGGAGCACGCGCGGATATATATATATATATTATGTATTTTAAGTATCGATTAACCAGCTTTCACAAACTAATTATATATAATAATTATATCGCGCGGCAACGCGAATCGATTTATCTCTGTCAACGTTATCTTACCGCTAATTTGCTCGATAGATTGTTTGAGAATTTGCCGGCTTGCAGAAACATCCATGGGACATTTACGTCCATGGGAAGTAAACCCGGCATGTACGTACATATCTACTGTCCAGTGAAATAATTAGATTAGATAATGCGTGCGAGAGTGTCTACGGA